TTTCTCGTAGTTATCCAATATTCAAAACGATGTGAAAGGCAGTTTTACATAGTTTTACACGGTTGTACATAGTTTTACAAACCAGGGAATACAAAAATCAAACACTACTACGATTTCAAAATAACAACCATTCCAATCTTTGTCTTGGTCGCCTTTTATTTTGAGTTATAGGACATCTTTCTCCAGCAGATGGAAACATTTTTATTCTCTTCCTTCCCTTCATTTTGAGGCGATTTGGAGGCATGATCTGTACTTCTTTGATGTAATCAGGGACATTCCACTCAAACTGATGAGGCACTAGATAAATTCTCCTGTGATACGCCAATGCCCACTGCTCCGCCCAATAATATCTTGATAACAATTCATGTAGTTGGATATCGCGAACTCTATCTTCATTAGACTGGAATATAATGAAAGTGGCTAGTCCGTGCATTCAAGGATACTTTTCAATATCAAACACCCTGCAGCTGCAACTTTTTGAGAGTAAATTCACCAAATAAGACTTCCTATCAGAACCAATGACATTGTATTCGAGCCCAAAACTGTTTAGCTCATCCACATGTAATTTCTTAGCATCTTTCCACATATTATGCAACAAGTTCTCCATTAAAGGCACCCATTTCTGTTCAATCGGTCCTGCAATGGCCTCCTTTCGGTGATCATTAAACCAATCACAAATGTTTTTCACAATCGCATTAACCATGGGTATTAAGGAGTATGTCCTTGCGATCCTAAAAGTATTGTTTAAAGATTCCACAGTGTTGCTTGTATCTAAGTTGTATCTGTCTCCAAGAAAATAACACCTTGCCCATTTATCTTTCTCAGTAGTGTGCTTAAGATAATTTGCTGCTGAAGGATATCTCATCTGGAAATGACTATAAGCACGCTAAAACTCAGCCACCGTGTAAAACCTACTACACTCCATAAATCTTCAAGCGACCAGATCTTTATTGACGTTAGAAGCATGACCTTTCACATTTTGGGACAAATGCCATACGCAATGACCATGATGAGAGCTCGTATACACATTAGCTACGGCGTTGATGAGGCTTAGATTTCTGTCACTCATAAATACCAATTCAGAAGTGTCCGCCACAACAGATTTCAGCATCTCGAAAAACCAGGTCCAACTAACATTATTCTCACCATCGAGTACAGCAAGGCTATAGGGTAATTATGCCGATTAGGATCCTGAGCTGAAGCAAAAACTAGTACACCACAAACCCGTTCTTCAGAAAAGTTGCATCCACAACTATCACTTTCCTCATGCATTTAAACCCTTCTACGCTAGCTCCCAAAGCAATGAATAGATACTTGAATTTTCTATTTTCATCCAACTTCACCCTTGTTATTGTGCCTGAATTGGCGTTTTCCAGCATGTACAAATAATAATACAACATCTTGTAGCTGCCTTCTTGATTACCATGCAAATCAGAAACAGCTTGATTTTTCCCTCGCAACGCATTAGAGTATGATACACTCACGCCAATTTTTGCCTGAACAAGATGTATGATACTTTTAAGAGCTGGAGTGTCCATTTGGCCTGGATAACCATCATGCAAAAGAGAGGCAACTAATCATGGTGTGCCTTTCCTCCTCTGGTTGCTTGAACTCTGACTAGCCCGAGAGCATGTATGCATCTTAAATTACGTTTTAGTCGAGAAAAAAAATCTGTACATTTAATATTTGCAGCTTGTAAACCCCAACTACAGCTTTCTTGACGACATTTCAACACTAATCGGACCTTATCTGACTTCTCTATAGAAAAATCAAAACAATTCACAAATGAGCCTCTATCCACCAAATCATGCACTGCCTTCTTATTTGAAAATTCTTGATGTAAATATAGACCCAAACCATCTTCCCATGCCTCCATAAACTGAGTAGCTTCTACAACAGGTCGCAACTCACCATTTTCATTGCGTATATCCACAGATTCATCATCCTCTCTAGTCTCATCATCCTCCTCTATCGCCTTATGTTGTTGTTTTGCTTGTTGGTTGTACACAATCATAGCATTATCTTCAACTTCATCATCCTTCGAATGCAACTCCTCATAATTCACACCAGCAAAAAAATTTTCCATCGCTTTCGAAAGCTTATCTGTCAGTTCTTCTGAAATAGTGATTACCTCCACATGCAGAAGACATCTACGATTCTCATTATCAACGGAGGTCAGATAAACACGAAGATCCTCATCATCAGAAATAATCCACTCTTCCTCATGTCCCACCAGCAGTGGAGTGTAACTCAATTTCAACTTCACCATACTTTCATCTAAATCAACCTTTTTGCATATTCTAGCTTATATCAACGCCAAAGTTACCTCCGTCGTTGGTGTCTTCAAGAATATACTATATTGCCAATCTTTGCATTTAAAATGTATGATGCTGTTGTTGCTCATTGTATCCTGCCAAAACAATACAAAAACTCAAGCAGTAATACTAGTTATCCACAGTTATACAATCAGTACTGATATATCATGGTTTTTGTGGGTTTTTGACCATGATATAAGTCCTATTTATAGAGTCTTTTTGTTATTTTTTTAGTCTTTTTGAGTCTTTACAGGTTTGGATATGTTTGGAGCTTATTTGGAGATATTGGAGCATTCTGGAGCAAAACAGAAGATGTTGCTGAAGAAATCAAGTCGTGCAAAAATTGTACACTCTCGAGCAGAAATACAGTGCGCGTGCAAATCCCGTGTCGATCGACACTAGGGTCTTGGTGTCGATCGACACCAAAATTGCACAAATCTTGCCCGAGTTTTTACAGATTTCTGAAGACTTACAAGTTCGCCCAGAAGTTTTATATATTTACAGTTTTACCCAAAATCTTGTTCTGGGTCTATAAAAGGATTTTTATGGTCATTGTTTAGACTTAAGTTTTATTTTACAAAGAGATTAAGAGAGAGATTTTTAGAGAGTTTTTGGAGAGATAAATCATTCTCCTTTAGATAGGATTCTGAACTCCTTTATTTCTTCTATTGATTTCTTTTATGCTTTCTATTCAAATTATGATTTGTGTTTCATTGATCATGACTGAGTAGTTTGCTTGTTAGGTTTAGGGTTTTTCAAAGGTGATGATGAATTACTAGGTTGAATTGAATTGTTAGGATAAAATTATTAGAGTTCTTCATCTTGATTAGTGTTTATTGTTTATTCTAGCTCTGCTACCTAGAATCTGATCTTAGGTTGATTAATAGATGCGGAAGTATTGTTAATCACCAGAACTAATTTTAGATGAGCAAAATTCCTATCTGCAGGTTGAATTGAATTGTTAGGATAAAATCATTAGAGTTCTTCCTCTTGATTTGTGTTTATTGTTTATTCTAGCTTCGCGACCTAGAATCTGATCTTAGGTTGATTAATAGATGCGAAAGTATTGTTAATCACCAGAACTGATCTTAGATGAGCAAAATTCCTATCTGCAAAGGAATTTGGTTTAGGATTTTGTGAACAATTGAACCTGATTTTAATGCTTGTTTGAATTGATAGGATTTGTAAAGGAATTTGGGATTCTAGGATTTAGACATAGATAATCTCTGCAGCGGAAGTTGATTGGTTTTATATTAGTGTTTCAAGTTCAAGAACAATGCTTAATAAACTTCTAACATTCTGTCTAGATTTGCAATTCGGATTCCCCTGCAAATTTCCCAAGGCCTAGTGTTTCTCTCTTTGATTTAAAACCTCCCAATCGATTTGCTGCTTTCTTTTTATTACTTGCATTACATTCATTTAGTTTTCCTTAGCTTGATTTTAACCTGAAATTTATTGTGCAACAATCTAAGTCCTTATGGATTCGACCCCTAAGTACTACAGTGATTTCTTAATTTGAGAGAGTAGCTCTAAGGGTTAATTTGAGCATAGCAAGTACTACCCAGTTGTACCAAGTTATACTTTATTAATCACTGATAGTAATACTAGTTATCCACAGTTATACAACAAGTAATATCCAGTTGTACCAAGTTATACCTTACCAATCAGTGATAGTAGTGACTAGTTATCCATAGTTATACAGTAAGTAATATCCAGTTGTACCAAGTTATACTTTATTAATCTGTGATAGTAGTGACTAGTGATCCACAGTTATACCATCAGTAATAACCAGTTATAGTGATACTATTAACTAGTTTGCCACAGTTATACTATCAGTAATACCCTGTTGTACCATGTTCTACATTGTAATACTAGTTCTACCCAATTATTTTTCGCAGGAACTCAAATTGGATGATTTTGTGTTCATTTCATTCTAATCTACCATTGAATACGATTAAACTCAATTCAACCAATACAGGCTATTTATTACAAATTTATAGTCCTAATCAATCTATAAATCATGGTTAAACACACTATATCCAAAACATTTGAGCATTTGATTTTCAAATCTTTAAAAAAAAATTGTTTACCTCAATTTAGAAACTGCAGTCGATGGCGTCGATGGAGGGCTCCAGAACGGCGACGACGTTGATGGAAAGCTCCAGAACGGCGACAGCAGAAGAACGGCGACGGCAAAAGAACGAGTTCGGGAAAACTAGATCGGCGATGGTAACAATAAAGGAGGGGAGAGAGAGCGAGGTGGAGTGGGGTGAGATTTTTTGAAAAAAAAAATCAATTTTCTAATTAATTCATTAAGGACAAAATGGATAGTTTATATAAAAGAAGGGTATATAGATTATTGAGGGATATACGAAATTATATTTTGAGAAAATAGAGCATTTCAGATCATGTTTTGAAGAGAGAAAGCAAAATAAAGAGAAAAGTAAGAAGATAAAATTAAGTGAAAGATAATTAGATTTTTTTTTTCAAACTCTTAAGAGTATATTGACTTTCTACCCAAATAAAATGCTAAATGTAAAGAGGATATTTCAGCTTTAGTTTCAATATAATAGAGGTATTTTATCAGCCAGCCATTAATTCCAAATAAAGGTATATTAGCTCTGCACCCGATACAAAAGCTAGGGGCAATACAGCCATTGATTCGTGTCTTTGCCTTCCACTTCCATGTCGCGTTTGCTCCACTCTTCATTGCAGATAGAGCTCGATACCCTTTCTGTAATTGAGACCTAAAACCTTCTTAATTTTAATTTAACTGCCACTATACCTACTTCATCTTCTCCAGTGAGCTATAATGGGGGTTCTTTTCTTCTTTTTCCTCTTCTTTGTTTCCTCTCCCTCGTTGTTTGTAGCTCAATCACAGCCTCCAGAACTCGACCCACAAGACAAAGCCTCTTTATTGATATTCCGCGTATCGATTTACGACCCGAATCGGACCTTATCGACATGGTACGGCTCAACATGTTCTAACTGGACAGGTCTATCTTGTCAGAACCCGACCGGAAAAGTTCTCTCCCTCACTTTATCCAATACGAATTTGTCCGGTCAGATTCACCCATCACTCTGTAAGCTCACATCTCTTCAAAGCTTGGACCTTTCTTGGAACAATTTATCTGGAAACATCCCTTCTTGCGTAGGTGCGTTGCGTAATCTTAGGACACTCAATCTTAGTCGGAATAGTTTAGTCGGTGCGATTCCCGGAACATTTGTTAATCTTAAGGAGCTTAGAGAAGTCGTTCTAAGAGAGAACAGAGATTTAGGTGGATTGATTCCTCACTGGCTTGGAGATTTGATGAATCTTGAGAGAATCGATCTTAGTTTCTGCTCGTTTCTTGGAGACCTACCTGAGAGTTTCCTGTATTTGAAATCGCTGAAGTTCTTGAATCTTGAGAGCAATAACTTGACTGGTACACTTAGAGATTTTCAACAACCATTGGTAGTTCTTAATCTTGCTGCGAATCGGTTTACCGGTACACTGCCTTGTTTCTACACCTCTCGTCCATCTCTCAGTGTACTCAATCTCGCTGAAAACTCTCTACTTGGTGGATTACCTTCTTGTTTGAGTTCTTTAAAAGACCTGAGTCATCTGAATCTATCTTTCAATGGCTTTAGCTACGAGATATCTCCAAGTCTCGTGTTTTCTGAGAAGCTTGTGATGCTTGACTTGAGCCACAACGGGTTTTCAGGTCGTCTCCCTAGTCGAATCTCCGAAACAACTGAGAGATTGGGTCTGATTCTTCTTGACCTCTCTCACAATAGGTTCTCTGGTGTTATACCGTTGAGGATCACCGAGTTAACGAGCTTACAAGCATTGCGTCTCTCTCACAATCTGTTAACCGGAGATATCCCGGCGAGAATCGGGAATCTGACTGATCTCCAGGTGATTGATCTCTCACACAACGCGTTAACCGGACCAATCCCTCTCAACATTGTTGGTTGCTTTCAGTTGCTTGCTCTAGTCATCAGCAACAACAATCTCTCCGGCGAGATACAACCCGAGCTTGATGCTTTAGACAGTTTGAAGATACTTGACATAAGCAACAACAAGATATCCGGCGAGATCCCGCTTACTCTAGCCGGCCTAAAGTCGCTCGAGATTGTTGATATCAGTTCCAATAACCTCTCAGGAAACCTTAATGAAGCCATTACCAAATGGTCTAACCTCAAGTATCTCTCTCTCGCCAGGAACAAGTTCGGTGGAACTCTTCCTTCTTGGTTGTTCAAATTCGACAAGATCCAAATGATAGACTACTCCAGCAACAGATTCTCTTGGTTCATACCGGGGGATAACTTGAACAGCACGCGGTTCAAGAACTTTCAAACCGATGGATCCGCAGAGACACCGGGGAAAGTAGAGATCAAGATATCAGCAAATGTGGTTGCTAAAGATGAGCTAAGCTTCAGCTACAGTCTCTTTTCCATGGTTGGGATTGATCTTTCTGATAATCTATTACATGGAGAGATCCCTGAAGCCTTGTTCAGACAGACGAATATAGAGTACTTGAACTTATCTTACAACTTTCTTGAAGGTCAGCTTCCTCATCTAGAGAAGCTACCAAGATTAAAGGCCTTAGATCTTTCACACAACTCTCTTTCAGGTCAAGTCACTGGAAACATCTCAGCTCCTCCAGGACTTACTCTTCTGAATCTATCTCACAACTGTTTCTCTGGAATCATCACTGAGAAAGAAGGGCTTGGAAAGTTTCCAGGAGCTTTAGCCGGAAATCCGGAAGTCTGTGTTGAATCTTCCGGGATTAAGTGTGATCCTGCAAACATCGATGCATCACAAGAGGAGATATATCAGAACGAATTGGTGGAAGGATCGATATCGATCTGGATATTCTGCTTAAGTGCGTTTATTAGCTTTGATTTTGGAGTTTTGGCTATCTTCTGCTCAGCTTGTGCTCGGAGTTATATCCTTCAGACTAAAGGTTAAACTCTGAATCGTGAGCTATGGCTAAGAGAAGGTTGATTTTGATGTGTATTCAGTTTTAACACACATTTGTCTGTTGTCTGAGTTGTGAAAATGGAAATGCTTGTTTGTTACTAAAATGTCTTAGTCTAAGTCTATTTTGCCTATCTCAAATGTTCCTTTTGTGTATATAACTTGACCGGTTTACATTTACATGAACCGGAGCCATTGTTCATCTTCCCGTGTTATGATTCTTGTTTCTGTTTTTGATTCAAGAACGTGCCCTATAAGTAACGTTATTTAGGCTAATTTGACCAAAGAGTTCATTAGTGTTGAAATCACCTGCTCAAAAATGGGTGAAATTGGTAGATAACAAGATATGAGTAGAAAATTAGCATAGTAATAAAAAAAGTTAGAAGGAATCAACCAAAAAATACTCACTAAGAAAAAAGTAGGGGTGGGCACAATTCCCGTCCCATCCCGTTCCGTCCCAGTCCCAATCCCAAATTCCCGTACCATATGGGAATGTGCTTCCTATATAGTATAACATATTAATTTCCATTTGGGAATGGGACGGGACGGGACGGGAACAGGAATTCCCGAAGTCCCATTTGTCCCAAATTATATATAAATAATAAATTAGATATTTAAAATATATTACCAAAATGATCATTATTTTATATAAACGAAAATTAAAACTTAAAAGTTGCACCTCTAAAGTTCTAACTTATAAATTATAGTCTAAATGCATGCTGACTGCTGAGATTTAAACGGATTATGTTAGATTTTATTTTTTATTTTATTATATGACTAATAGACTATATGTGGTTTTTTGTTTACTATTCAATGGATTATGTTGTTTTTTTTAAAAAAAAAAATTGAAGCTTTTAAATTTTAATAATTAAGTTAAGTTTGATTTCATTTGTTTCTTGGTTAATTTATAATCTTATATGACATGTTATTATTATTTATTAGAATTCAAGAAATGAACAATGGACGAATATAAATTGAATTTTAATTTTTTTCATTTTTATAATTGTCAATTTTTCATGTTATTAGATTTTTTGGGAATTCCCATCCCATTCCCGTCCTATCCCGTCCTATCCCGTCTCATTCCCGTCCTGTCCCAAATTTTGAATGGAACACATATGGAACAATTATTTTGATTCCCATAATTCTATTCCGTTCCCATTCATGCAAAATCCCGTCCCATATTTCCGTTTGTCCACCCCTAGAAAAAAGTACAAATATAATTTAAATAATTTGTCATTGGGTGCACGATAGTTTAACTAAAAATGAAGAGTACAATAAATATAAATACAGACTCCACAATTTAATTCAATATTATCAAAAATCGAGAAGAGAAAAAAATGATGGAAATAATAATACAATTTTTTTTTTCATCTTTCTCATCTCTCTTATTCTTTCATTTTTCTTTCATATTGCTTTCTTCTCAATAAAATCATCACATATAAAAATACGAAAATTCACTCATATTAACATATATACAACACATTAGAACAAAACAATGGAAGAATATTAATATAAATATACTAAAATGAAAATTAACATATTCCGGTTTAATTTCGAGTTCGGTTCGGTTTGGTTAGTTTGGTTTTACTAAAACTCTAACCAAACTCAACCAAATTTAATTCGGTTTGGATTCGGTTTGGTTCAGTTTAAACACAGTTCGGTTTGATTTGGTTATAGTTAATTTGGATTCGTTTAATTCGGTTAATAGATTGGAAAACAAAACTTTATATAAACATAATGTAACATCAATATCAAAATTAAAAACTTATTACTTTGAAACTATGAAAAATCAAGTGGAAAATAGATGAAAGAACTTCGATTTTCTTTATAAATGAAATCTAGGTGCTTAAATATAACATGAGTTTTAGGTTTTTTTTTTTAAGATTTGAGAATTGAAGACAGTATTTAAATAATGGTGCTAAACTATTAATTGTTAAAGATAATTAATATCATTAATCATTAATAAATTAATAATTAAGAAAACACATTAGGTTTCAGTTCGGTTTGATTTAAACCAAACCGAACCGAACCATTCGGGTTGACAGAAATCTTAACCGAAATATTTTGATATAGACTTTGGTTTGATTTGATTCGGTTTGGGTTCGGTTGGTTCGGGTTGGTTCACTTCGGTTCAGTTTTTTTGCCCACCTTATTATTAACTAATAAAATTACAAAATTAAGTAAAATATTAAAATATTAGAGATATCTACCTACTCTAATATTTACTCTAATATATTAAAGTTTTTTAGAATGAGTTTTAAAATACTGCTACATGATACTGACATGTGTCATCTACATTTTAAAAGAAACTATAAACACATAGAATAATTCAATTACATTAAACAAAATAATTAAGACAGCTAAATACAGTTTGTAAAAAAAAATAATAACTGTATCAAAAATCACAAATTTAAAAAGTGGTTCAGCCTTGTGTCAAGTGCTTATCAAATCTATCAAATGACTAAGAACAAGGGCATCATTTTTATAAACTACTACTCCCTCGGTTTCAAAATAAGTGTCACTTTGACACTTTAATTTTGTTTCATAAAAAGTGTCATTTTATGTTTTCAATGCAGTTTTTAAAATTTATTCTCAGTTTTATCCTTGTTATTATAGCTTATTAATTAGAGAGAAAAAACTGTTTTAGTGTATTAACAAGGAACATAATAGACATTTACAATATTTTCTTAATTTGTGTGAAAAATGTCAGAATGACACTTTTTATGAAACAGAGGGTAGCATTTTCAAAGATGTACTATCGTTACTCCCATTTTAAACAAGCAAGTTACAACCTAGGTGAATGCATGAATTCTAAGTCTTATATGAATGCACATGAACAAACTCTTTTTGTGGAATAAATTTTCGAACATTTTCAAATTATTATGGATTTTCTATATGCATGGTTACTTAGCTATACAAATGCAAATGTGCTATGAATGCAGGATGTCAGTTCAAACAAACCCTCCCCCACACTTAGAATACACAGTCCTCTTAGTATTAAAAATGTAAAAGGAGGCAAACCACAATATAAAGAAGCAAATTGAAAGTAGTAGGTATGGAGTATAGCCAGAAGAGTTTTGGTTTTCTGTGAAGGTATTCCTATAATTATTTCCATTGTAACCTCTGTTCCCCTGCTGATATCCAAACCTTTTGATATGAGCATGGAAGCATCTAACTTAGAAGATGAGCTTGTAGTCGTTGGGAATTAAGATCAAGACAAGAAGGTGGCTGAGGAAGTTCTTGAAGTACAAGGAGGTCCAATGACCCGAGCTAAGACTAAGGCATTTCAAAATGCCTTAGAGGTTCTACTTAATCAGTTTAAGTATGAACCAAGTAATGAAAAGGCTACACCTTCCACAATGGTTTGTATTGTAGCCGAGGACTAAGCTAATGGGTTTGTGGGGCATTTTGTGCTCTTTTTCCCTTAGTGAGTTTTGTCCCATTGAGTTTTCTCACTAAGGTTTTTAACGAGGCAAGTGTTCCCACATTGTCATTTCCCATTAAGCTTAGCCTTTTACCAAGCCCACTTCTTTCTACCATCCGCGGCTTGGTTATTTTCAAAGTATCATGTATTTTTGAGTCTTGTTTCTTGTTTTTTTAGTTGTTTGAACCAAGTCTTTGCATGGCTAGTCAAGGGGGTTTGTCCCGAGAGTAACTTAATGCTCTTGGTGTTTTGTGTCGTCTTTCTTCTCTCTTAAAACCGTGTGTGAGAGAGGAGTTGTCTTTTCATCTATCTTTTCAATAAAATTTCCTTGCAAAATAGATCATCTCTCTTGGTGCGTTATATCCTCGAGAAATCCTACTTAGAATCATAGGTGTGTCTTATCCTTTTTGTTCTAGTAGTTTGTATCAAGAGCCATCCGCAACTCTTGCTACATCCCATCTTCAATCTTCCCCCATTTTCCCTTCAAACAGACCAACCTTATACCCTCATTCGGATCATCCCATCATTCTGTATCAAGTCATTCGTGGGTTAGCTTGTAAGGTCACGATCATCAACGGGAATCATATCAAGTGGTATCAGAGAAAGCCTTCAAAGCTAAGTGTTCAGATCCGATCATTTTTTCATTATTTTGATCGATTGAATTTTTGTCTCTTCATCTACTCTCGAAAATAATTTTAAAATTTTTGTCCATCACAGATTTGGTCTTTAGTATCTCGCAAAATATTTTTTTTAAAATAGTTTAGAATTTATATCAAAGAACTACTTACTGCGAGTGGATTTACCTTTTCAGGAACGATGGTCGGAGATGATGATCCAGAACCCTCAGCCGTGCGTGCTCAGAGGATTTTGGTCGAAGCTCTCACAGCCGAGATGAAAAAAATGTTACAAACGGAGGTAGACAAGATCAGACAAGAGTATGAGCAGAGAGAACTGGCTCAGAGACGTCAAGGCAAAGAAACCGCGAGAGAAGAAGAGCGAGAAGGACAGGCTAGTGGACATCACACTGACCAGTACTACAAAAGCAGTAGCTCTTCTAGAAGTGACCGTAGAAGTTCTAGACATGGCAGAGAACGTGTGCAAGACAACTTGGCCGGTCTAAAATTGAAGATCCCCTCTTTTCACGGCAAGTGTGATCCGGATGCCTACCTTGAGTGGGAAAAAAGATAGAGTTGGTATTCAACATTCAGCATTACACTGAGGAGAACCGTGTTAAAGTGGCGGCCACGGAGTTCTACGACTATGCCCTAAGCTGGTGGGATCATCTCGTTACGACCAGAAGGAGAAACCAAGAGTATCCGGTTACCACATGGAACGAGATGAGAAACTTGATGAGGAAGCGATTTGTTCCGAGCCATTACCACCGCGAGCTACATCAGAGGCTTCAGAGAATGACGCAAGGCAACCGTTCTGTGGAGGAGTATTTTCAGGAGATGGAAACGCTTATGCTTCGTGCGGATATCTTGGAGGATAGGGAGGCTACGATGGCTACGTTCCTCGGAGGTCTTAACCATGAGATTCAGGACCACCTAGAGACACAACACTATGTCGACCTGGAGGAAATGCTTCATAAAGCAGTGTTGTTTGAGCAGCAAGTTAAGAGAAAGGGGTCGTACCATTCCGGTTCTGGTACCGAACCAAACAATCAGACAGTTTACCCGCGGGACGACAGAAATTCGTATCGGTCAGTTTACCCGCAAAATGAGAAGAATCATCCGAGAGAGGACAAGCCGATCAGTTCCAAACCCGAAGCTATTCAACCATACGGAAAACCTAAGGAGGCTAGTGCCAAGGCTCGTGATGTGAAATGTTTCA